CCCCCAAAACCCCAAAACCCCAAAACCCCACCTAAAAATCTAGGATTGAGGACGAATCTGTCTCTAAAGTCTTAAGAGGTACGTTACAACTTATTGTCGGCAGTACTTCAGATAAAAAGTCTGAGAGACTGGAGCTAACAGGCTGACAAGAATCAGCAGTCCTCCAATAGCATCAGTGACCGTGAACGTTGAGTGGAAGATAGCAATGTCGCTGATAAGGAAATAGAGGATGTTTAAGTACTGTAGAGGGGTTATTAGCGACGCCTCAGAGTATTTCAAAGCTTTTGAGGAGAACAGCTGCCCTCCATATGCGAATAATGTGGATAGAAGGAAGATAGTCAGATCGATTTTAGTGAATTTGGAGAAATGATAAGCTGAAGGATATACAGCAAGTATCATTAGTGCTAATATCAATGACGTGGCAAAGTACCAGAATGGACTCACTAAATAATGAATCTCCTTATTCAAAGCTCTCAGTGTCAAAGTATTCACAGCTTGAGTACATCAGTTGATTCCTACCAATATTAGCCCTAACATGTAAAATTGACCTGCTTGGTAGTCCTCGTCTTTATGAAAAGTCAGAATAAAAATACCAGTAAACGCTCCAACAACTGATATAACTTTGAGACTCGTAATTTGTTCCTTTAGAATAAGATATGAGAGGATTCCGACCAGCAATGGGCTAATGTTATAAATCAATGTTGCAAAGCTCAGAGGAATGTACTTAACTGCTATAAAGTAACAAGGCATTCCGATGACACTGACTACACTTCTGAAGACCAGCAATAGCCTAAATCCTTTCTTAATGTCAAAAACATTGACTTTGGCTGATAAGACCTGGATAATGGAGATAAGTGTGGGGAACACTGATCTCCAGAGCATGTAGTCAATCCCGTTGAGGTATTCATTCCTCATGTACACTATTTTGCAAGTAATTGAAGCAGTTGAAAAGCACATTCCAGCAAGAATCATGAACACAATTCCCCTCACATTATCTCCCCTCTCTTGTTTAGCCACTTCTACTGCTCTATCATCCTGCACCTCGTCAAAAGATCACATATCCTTCTCTACATGCTCTTGACTTCCTCCATAAATATCTTCATCAAGCCCATTATTACTAATTAGCTTATCTTTGCTAAGATCCTTGACTTCCATTTTCAATTGTATTAAATCTTGGGGTTTTGGGGTTTTGGGGTTTTGGGGTTTTGGGG